AATGAGGTTTTTATTTATACAAACCAACAATCAACATTTTGAAAGAAATGCCGAGTGAATGCAGACTAAAGAATGTACACGAAAAAAACTGATCACAGTTAAAACGTTCCAAAACATAAATATATTAATGGAATTCAACGATATTTACATATATTTACATCTAAACTTAGTTTTATTGAAATTCGTTAAAAAAGAGTTAATTCTCCTTGTAATAAGCAAACGATCGCAATTTTGACTTTATGTCCTTCATTAGCCCTTGCACAGAAGTTTCAGTGCTTTCCTTGGAAACCAGCTGCCATTTATTTTTGAATTGTTGTGCGTTTTTTACAGCTTTGTGGGTCTTAAGAAGTTTGGATTTCATAACGGCCCAGTAGGTTTCGATCGGCCGATGCTCTGGACAATTAGGTGGATTCACCTCTTTTGCTACAAAATACACTTTGTTTCTATGTTACCATCCTAAAGCCATTTTTCCGTAATGATATATCGCGAGATCAGGCCAAAAAAGCACTGGATCTTTATGAAGCCGTATAAGAGGTAAAAGTCGCTTTTGCAGACACTCCTTAACATAAATTTCTTGGTTAATTGTACCAGTGCTTACAAAAGGATCACTTTTGAAGCCATATTGGCAAATTGCCTGCCAAATGAGAAACTTTTTGGGAAATTTGTCAAACTTTTTGTTTTTATATTTATCTGCAACATTGCCTCTTTTATTTGCAGTGTGAAATTCGCGACCCCGGATTTGGTTAAAATCGGCTTTTACGTACGATTCGTCATCCATAACAATACAGCCAAATTTTTGTATGAGACTGTCGTACAATTTCCGAGCACGTTGTTTCGCCAAAAAATTTTGCTTACCGTTGCGATTAGGTGCTGCATTCACTTTGTAAGAACGTAGTCCTGCTGTTTTGCATACTTTTTGTATATACGAAGACGACATGTTTAATTTTTTGCCGACATCTCTTACCGAGGTCCAGAATTTTTCTTAAAAGCAGATAACACTTCCTTTGCCTTAATTTCGCAAGCAAATCCTTTTTTTCTGCCACTACCAGGGTTCCTTTTTAAAGATAAACATTCATTGTATTTTTTAAGCACATAAGTAACGGTAGACTTTGGAAATTTTAGCTTTTTTGCGATGTCGTTGTGGAACATGCTGTGATTTTCCAGCTTTTTGCGCAATATTAACTCGCGATCGATTTCTTTCTTGGTCCTCGTTTCTACACTGATTTTTGTTACTAAAAAGAAATGATGCAGTAAGGTGGAAAATGCTTCCAGCTTTTTAAGTGTTTACCGATTTTTATTTTAATGTTATGATTAACCGAGCTATGCTTGGTTATGTGCGACCAGTTTTTTTCGTGTACATTCTTTATGTTGATTCAATCATTTTACAGCTCTGCTCTTGATCATGGTCGAAAGCCCGAGTTTCCGGCTCATGTGCAAACCAATATCATGGAAACCTAATTGTAGACATTACAGTAAAGAAACAACTTGCTTATACACATTTGGTGCATGCACCAGGAACCGCAAGCAACACCTTTAACAGTGAAAAAGCATGCATATGTTCGAATGTTGACAGTCTCTGGTGCAATTCTTTAAACGGGTAATTTCAGACCAAAGCTTAGAACGTATAATTAACGTAACGAGGACTAGAATGTTTATATTATTAGCTGTGTTTCTTTTAATTATTTTCCTACAATTTTTCATA